AAGCTATCAAGCCTTGCTTAACAATGCAAGCAGTTATGACTCGCAAGCCTCAAATAGTCCTGCATATAGTCAAGTAATTTATTTTTCACCTTTCCTCTTTTATTTTGTCATTTATTCATTTAAAGTTCCATTTTATTTTATGGTTCCTTATATATATTTGTTTTCTTTTTTGGGTACTATATAGGCATGGGCGTGGTCGTGGGCGTGGCCAAGGGCATGGGAATGTGGATCACACATCAATATCGTAGCGTTGAATTTTTTTGTTGGATATGTAATATTGAACACTTGAATGTAGAAATTTGTGAAATTTGTAAACTTTTTGGTTGGATATGTAATATTGAAGACTTGGCAGATTGTACTGAAATTTGAATGTCGAAATGACCTTAAACTTTTTTTTATGTGAATGTTGATATGTTGCTGAAATATGTGCTGAAATGGTGCTGAAAATTGTGTTGATATGTTGCTGGAATTTGGTTGAAATGGTGCTGAAATTTGTGCTCATATGTTGCTGAAATTTGTGCTGCTATGTTTGTGAAACTTGTGCTGATATGTTGCTGAAATGGTGCTTAAATTTGTGCTGATATGTTGCTGAAATTTGGCTGAAATGGTGCTCAAATTTGTGTAAATATGTTTCTGAAATTTGTGTACATATGCTGCTGAAATGGTGCTCAAAGTTGGCTGATATGTTGCTGAAATTTGTGTAAATATGTTGCTGAAATATGTGCTGAAATGGTGCTCAAAGTTGGCTGATATGTTGCTGAAATTTGTGTAAATATGTTGCTGAAATTTGGCTGAAATGGTGCTCAAATTTGTGTAAATATGTTGCTGAAATTTGTGTACATATGTTGCTGAAATGGTGCTCAAAGTTGGCTTATATGTGCCGAAATGGTACTCAAAGTTGGCTGATATGTTGCTGAAATTTGTGTAAATATGAAATGAAAAACATATCATGGGAATCTCATTCTAGTTTGATATCAGCAAAAAATAAGTTTGTTTGGGCTGATATGTTGATATGTGCTGATATGTAAAGCAAATAAACCAAATCTGTGCTGATATGTTGCTCAATCAAATATGTGCTGATTTGTTGCTCAATCATTATAACCCTTCAATTTGAATAAAACATTATTCCATTTGAATTTCCTAAAATCTGAAAATACATGTTTGGTCATAACAATGGTCTGAAATTGAGTGGGACACAAATCTAAGCATCACATAAGGATATAGATCATTGGAGTGTCCTGATTTACATCAAAGTAAACAAATGGCAACAGTCCATGGAAGTCTATATATGTATACATGGACCATTGTCCTTCATATCTTCAATAACAACATAAACTAGAAGCACAAAAAACAGTAACACACCATACCAACAATCCAAACAATGCTAACTGATACCATAACAGAAATTGAAATTCTTTCTCATTAACTTTCAATGAAGTCTTACAGTTATTTATACTTAACAATGCTAACTGATTCTGTTACACCAGCACATCTAACTAACTCCACTTTCAAAACCATATCAATTCTTGCTAACTAATCTTGGTCCAGGTGGTCTTAACATAACTGCCTTGCACATGCTTGGGATGAGGCTGACACTTCTCTTGTGGCTGCAGTTGCAGCTGAGGCTGTGGCCCACTCTGCTGTTGTGAAGACTGCAGCTTGAGCTGTGGCTGTGATGGTGACTTGAGCTGTGGCTTTGATGCGATTATCCTATGTTCCTCAATACTCCTATCAAGAACCAAATGGATTTTGTAAATTTGGGTTAGGGGTAAAAATGGTGGGAGTAACACAAATTTAGAAATAAAGATCATGGAAACACAAGTATAACAGAATATCAAGTGAATCATTGAATCTATCAGGCAAATCTGCATAAACATTAAATATAAAATCCAAATTATTACCCAAAAAAGAAACAAATGCAGCTTTTAAACATACAAAATTAACACATACAAAGAACATTACCTTTTATTCTTAGCTCTCCACCCATGAGATGGTTTTATTCAAACCATCAGTAGCCCACATCTTCACTTTAGAAGGAGAGGAACTCTCTTTAGCTGGATTGAAGCTCTACTCTATCAATAGTGATTCTCAGCCGTCATTTGACATAATAGACTTGTCTTAGCTCTCCAATTTGTTATTTCAAATCCATTATAATTTATCATGAGTCACGACAAAACTCTCAAAGTCAATCAACAACCAAATTTAAATTATCAAATCTTTTTCCCAAATATTTTTTCCTTAAAATCCATAATCCAAATACACAAAATATGTACACACTTTTTGTCATCTCAAAGTAGCAAATGATGTGAAAGAGGAAATATTTTTTCAGACTCTAAGTTCCAATATGTCTAGGGAATTCCAATGCCTCAATAGAATGAGAAGTAAATAAAAAGATGTTGTTTAAGTTAATTTAGATTTTTGTTTTGAGTTGTAATTTTAGAGAGGAGGAAGACCCATGACACCTTTTTACAAATTTAAAGATGTTCTAGGGATATTTTGATCTTAAAGTGCGTTTTAATCCACCAATTACAATTACAACGAGATTATGTAATAATATTCGAATATCAGGGGTAATACGCACATGACTCAAACTATAAGAGAGTAAAGTGAAATTTGTCCAAAAAACTAATTCACAAAACTAAGAAGCCTGCCAGTCTAAACATTAGTTTTAGTAAGTAAAAAAGATTGTACTGCTAGCATAATTTTAGTTACATAGGACTAGACAAAATGAATGACACCTCTTGTGCCTTTCATGTAATTTGGTTTTCCAATCCATAGAATTGTTTGTTAAATAGGAGATAATTATTTCAAGGGACCTCTGTAAACAAGGTCCAGGAGCCATCAGCACCTACAGAAACAATCAGGAATATGTCTTCTTCACCGCATCTTCGTTAACAAAGCCATGGTGGACACAAGTTATGTCATCAACTTCTGCCAAAAACAAGAAAGCTCAATATCAAAGGAGAATTAAAAGTCCGCACACTTCATACCCTCTTCACAAACAAATACCAAGCAACATATCTAATAACAATTCCAAACGACCCTACACATATAATCCAAAATGCTCTCAATAATTGGAGCTGGAAACATAAAATCCTAAGAAAGCCATGTATGATAGAACACCAACGAAATTCAAACATTTCCCTTCCCCCAATGTCAGATCCTATATGAAATTCAAATTTTTTTAAAACCATATCTCAAAAAACAAAATTCAGATTGGAGGATTAACAAAACACTACATACACAACGATTCTTGTATAAACATCATGATCACATTTAGAATGACAGAGTGTACCAAGTTCAGATTTTCCCTAATTTTTGGATTCAAAGCCCTAATTTTTTATGTTTGGAGGATGAACGAACCTGTGCTCTTTTCCTTCAATCTGCTGGAGTATGGCGGGGTAGCGGCAGCGACGAGTCGGGGGTGGATCGGAAGCTCCTCCTCTCTGCCCTTTTCGTTCTCTCTCTCTCTCTCTCTCTCTCTCTCTTGAAGTGTGTTGATCTTTTTTTTTTTGAAATTACTAACCAAAACGACGTCGTTTTGGTTAGTTATATTCTCAGCCGTCGGATCAACACACTTCAGGGATGACTTTAGGAACAATACTTCAGAGGATCCTGATACTCCCTATAATTACAAGAAAAATTTTAAACTTTAATATGTCAGGGTAACATCATACATGAACAATATCTACTAAACAGAAATTGAGCTAACTTAAAAAATATATAATTATTGCGTTAATCGAAATTTATTGTGCAAAGTTGAATCTAATGTGAGATTCTACTTTATTTCTTGGTCAAGAAAGCAAAATAATAATAATAATAATAATAATAATAATAATAATAATAATAATAATAATGCATATGAAACAGTTGGGAATGCAGTACTTCTAGGTGCGGTGGATACAATCCTTATCAAATGTATAATTTTTTTTACTTATTTTTTATCAACAAAATAGAGATTTTATTGATAATGAAAATATTAAGAAAGCGTTTGGTAACATTTACGTTTTTGGTTTATGTTTTTAAAAATTTTATAAACAAGTTTTTGTTTATTTTTAGAAAAACATAAACTGCAAACACATATGGTTTAAACAAAATGTTTGAAATTTTTTAAAAACATAGACTAAAAAATATGTTTGTTCAGGTCTAAAATTTTTATATTTATTTTTTATTATTAATGACAATGGGATCAAACACATTACAGTTTTGAAAAAAAAAATAATTAAAAAAATTAATTGGAAAAAAAACAGTTGAAAAAAAAATTAATTGAAAAAAAATTGTTTGAAAAAAATAATTATTTGAAAAAAAAATTAATTGAAAAAAAATTAATGGAAAATAAAATTATTTGGAAAAAAAATTATTTGAAAAAAAATTGTTAGCCAAATTTTTAAACTTTTGTTTAAAAACTAGCATAAACTCATTTTTTGAATTTATGTTTTTTCTTCAAATTTATAAACTAAGACAACCATTTATAAACCAAAAAATTATCAAACAAGTTTTTATGATAGTTTTTAAAAATTTTGTAAATATACACAGAAAATTGAAAACGAAATGGTTATCAAACAGGTTCTAAATAAGGAAGGCTTACCTGAGTTGCATTATAACTCAAAAATAAATCCCAACTAGGTTGGCACCTATAATTAAACTCATTCACGTGCAAGCCAAGACCAGAGGAAATATCATTTTCCCTCCAAACTATCACGCGTTTTTCACATTGACCCCCATACTTTGATTTATTTCAATTTAGTACCTGAACTTTTCACAAATTGATTAATTAGACCATTGCCGTCAACGTGAAAAACACGTGATAATTTGGAGGACAAACTGATGTTTGCTCCCAAGACAAATACAAAAGGTTGGCGAGGCCTCAACCCAGATACAGAACAGAGCAACATAGGGGCAAAAAACTCAGTACATATAATAATCATCCATGAATCCTTACTTTATGGCCTGTTAATGGAGATGGTCTTGAAGTAAACAATCCAGATTACACTCAATGGATGCTGATTGATGCTCATCTATTGAGTTGTCTCAATGCTACTCTATCTCCTCCGATCTATTCTACTATACTTCCATTTCGTCACTGTGCTGATGTTTGGTCTGCTCTTCACAAGAAATTCACTTATCTTTCCAGATCACATATTCATCAGCTAAAGAATAAATTGAATTCTGTTTTGAAACAATCTGAATCAATGGAGGAATATCTTTCCAAAATCAAAGATATCGTTAGTCAATTGGCTCTTGCATCAGTAGCTATCGATGATGAAGATCTTGTCCTATTAACCTTTAATGGTCTTCCTGATGAGTTTGATGCTTTCAAAACATCCATTCGAGCCCGATCTGGTTGTATTTCAATGGAAGAGTTGTCTTCTCTGTTGTGTTCTGAAGCGATTCACATGGAAGCAAAAACTAAAAAGCTTGAACCAACAGTTGCCTTCTCTACTGTCAAAGGCTTTGCTTCTTCTACTTTTTCACCATTTTCCTCTCGTGGTCATGCCTCTCGCGGTAGATTCTCTTACAGAGGAGGAAGAGGAGGCAGATACTCCAGATGAGCCAATAGTAATGGCAGATTTTCTGGATTTTCTGGCCATTACACTCGAGGTAGAGGCCGATTTGCACCAAATTCTTCGCACAATTCTCACACTTGTCAAATATGTGGCGGTTTTGGTCATCTAGCTCTTGATTGTTGGCACAGAATGGACTCTCAGTATCAATCTCAATATCAGTCTCATAATGTCAATACCAATAGTGCTTCATCATCATCTGCTCCTAGGGCCTTTGTTGCTTCTTCCACTGTCGATGTCACATCATCTTCATCTGTCCCATGGTACCTAGACTCTGCTGCTACTGATCACATCACCAATGATCTCAATAATCTGTCCTATTATCAACCATATCAAGGTACTGATCAGGTCACTATTGGAAATGGCACTTTTGTCCCTATCAATCACACTGGTAACGGACTTTTACCTACTCCACATCATTCATTTCGACTTAAAAATATTCTTCATTCATCATCTATTTCTTCCAATCTTGTTTCTGTTCAAAAGTTAGCTCGAGATAATCATTGCATCATCACATTTGACGAGTCTAACTTTGTGATTCAGGACAAACTTACAAAGAAAGTTCTTCACAAGGGATGTAACATCAATGGACTTTATCATTTTCTGCCACCTATTACTTCATCTGCTGCTTCACCAGTTTGTTCACAGGCTTTTTTTACTAGTACTAATAAAATTCCTGCTAAGTCTACTTCTGTGACACCTACTATTTGGCATAATCAACTAGGCCACCCTTCCTCTGTAAAATTTCATCATCTTCAACATCATTTACAGCTTAAATCTGTACCTCTTGCTACTCAAGATTGTGTAGATTGTTGTGTTGCTAAAAGTCATCGTCTTCCTTTTCATTTGTCAAATTCAAGTGTAAATAAGCCTCTTTCATTTGTCAAATTCATAGTGATGTGTGGGGCCCTTTTCATTCTTCTTCCACTTATAAATACTATGTGATTTTTGTGGATGATTTTAGTAAATTTACTTGGTTGTATCCTCTAGTATATAAAAGTGAGGTCTATGACAAATTTTTGGAATTCAAAACTTATGCTGAGAAACAATTTGATACTGTTTTAAAAATATTTCGTACTGATGGTGGAACTGAATTTTGTAATAATAAAATGAAGAACTTTATTGTTGCTAATGGCATTCTTCACCAACATTCTTGCCCATACACTCCACCACAAAATGGCACTGCTGAAAGAAAACATCGGCATATCACAGAGACAGCCGTTGCATTGATTCATCATTCTTCTATGCCTCTTAAATTCTGGTTTGAAGCAGTTGCTGCTGCTACTTATTTGATTAATAGACTTCCTTCTACTCAGCTGAAGCATCAATCTCCTTTTGATGTTTTATTTCATCATCCTCCAGATTATTCTTTTCTCAGGGTTTTTGGTTGTCTCTGCTATCCTTGGCTTCAGCCTTATTCCTCCACTAAACTTCAACCTAAGTCTCTACCTTGTGTGTTTCTTGGTTATCATCCCTTTGCTAAGGGGTACAGGTGTCTTGATCCCACTTCTGGCCGGATTTATCTTTCTAGACATGTTCTTTTCAATGAATCTGTCTTTCCTTTTCAGCAAATGTCTTCTACCTCTTCTTCTCTTCCTTTACCTCAAATTCAATCTTTCTTTTGGTCTACTATCCCTATTCCATCACCAGCAGCTCCACCAGCATCTCTCTCTACTTCTACAGCATTTTCATCATTTCCATCAGCTGCGGTTCTATCAGCATCTCTGTCTGTTTCTCCAGCAGCAACAACACCTCTGTCTGTTCAGCCTCTTGTTCGGCCTCCTTGTGGTTCTACTCCTTCCATTCCTATTGATTCCCTCTCAGTCCACTTACCATTCCTTCCTCCTGCACCTACAAATGTTCATCCTATGATTACACGATCTAAACTCTCTTCTCAATGTTTCATTCATACCAAGCCTTCTGCTCTCTACTCCGATTCTGAACCTCCATCTCATACCGAAGCTCTTCTTTCTCCTATTTGGCTTAAGGCTATGCAAGCTGAATTTGATGCTTTGCACCAGCAACATACTTGGTCTCTCGTTTGTCTTCCCCCAGGCAAAACTGCTATTGGTTGTAAGTGGGTTTTCAAGGTTAAAAGGAATTCGGATGGTACCATTGCTAGACACAAAGCTAGACTTGTGGCCAAAGGGTACCTACAGCAAGCCGGTGTGGATTTTCAAGAGACCTTTAGTCCTGTAGCTAAGCTTCCAACCATCAGAATTTTGCTCTGTCTAGCTCTTCATCATCAGTGGCCCTTGAAACAATTGGATATATCCAATGCCTTCCTTCATGGAGTTCTTGAAGAGGAAGTGTTTATGCTTCAACCTCCAGGGTTTGTTCATCCAGATTACCCTCATCATGTTTGTCATCTCAAGAAAGCTTTATATGGCTTAAAACAGGCACCCCGGGCTTGGTATTCTACCTTTTCCAATTATCTTTTATCTCAAGGATTTCATAATAGCAAGTGTGATTCCTCTTTATTCATCCAGCAAACCAACACTACTTTCACTGCTCTTTTGGTTTATGTGGATGACATTTTAGTCACCGGCAATGATGATGCTCACATTCAAACACTCATTTCTCATATGCACACTGCCTTCTCTATGAAAGAACTTGGTGACTTATCCTATTTTTTGGGAATTTCCATTACACCTACTTCCACTGGCTATGTTTTGTCCCAACAGAAATATGCTGAGGACATCCTTCGTAAGGCAGGCTTAGCTGATTGTAAACCCTGTCCATCCCCTATCTCCGTTAAACCTTCCTTTGCTCCTGATTCATCAGCTCCATTTTCTGATCCTGCTCTCTATCGTAGCCTTGTCGGTGCTCTCCAATACCTCACCATAACTCGTCCAGATATTTCTTTGGCTGTTAATCACTCTTGCCAGCATATGCATGCTCCCACCATTGGACATTTTGCTGCAGTTAAACGACTGTTGCGTTTTGTTAAAGGTACTATTGGACATGGTCTGACCTACTCTCCCAGCTCTTTTGATGTTCAGGCCTACTCTGATTCTAACTGGGCTGGAGATGTTTCAGACCGAAAATCTACCTCAGGTTATTGTATATTTTTGGGTTCTAACTTGGTGTCTTGGTCTGCCAAAAAGCAAGCCACCGTCTCTCGCTCTTCCACTGAAGCTGAGTACCGTTCACTCGCCCATACTGCTGCAGAGTTGGCTTGGATTAGCATGCTTCTCACTGAATTGTCTATTGCCTCTACTGTGCCTCCAACTCTATGGTGTGACAATATTTCTGCTATGGCTTTGGCATCCAATCCAGTATTTCATTCCCGGTCTAAACATATCGAGGTGGACTGCCATTATGTTCGAGAACAAGTTTTCGCTAAAAAGCTGGTTCTTCAGTATATTCCAACAATTGACCAATTGGCTGACATCTTCACTAAACCGCTTTCTGTCTCCAGATTTTTGTACCTCAAAAACAAGCTTATGGAGTTCACTCACCCCATTCGCTTGACGGGGAATGTTGAGGACATTGCATCAAAGCCATCAGCCATCAAAGCATCAAAGCCCACGCATAGCAGCTCAGTTTCTGTTCTGTTTCAGCAATAAACTCAAAAACAGATAACAGTTAGACAGTTAGATAGTTTGTTAGATGGTTAGTCAGTTACAAGAATTGGCACATGTGTTTTAGATACATATCACTTGTATAGATATAGTTGTAGCACTATATATATGAATATAGGTTGTACATTGGTTGATTGAATAATAAAGTCATCTTTTCTACAGAATGTTTCACCCATAATGCCACTTTATCAAATGTATAAATCCTAACCTTTTTTATCCAACATTGTTACATGTGATTTTGTATGTCAGGTGATGACTGCAAATTCAAATTCAAAATAATTTATTTTGTAACATAACGTTAGGGATTTCGGCATAGTTATCGATTATGATAATGTATAGATTGTGAAGGAATTTCGTATATACTTTATTTGATGATTTATTGTCGAATCGCAATGAATAATATTATATATCCTGTGTTTTGGGAATATTGAACTCCCACCCTCAACTTTGTAAGTACTAAAGTCTTACGGTCCATTTAACTCTTAAGAATGGAACTTCATATGTCTCCTTAGGAAATATTTGAAGGCCAAAGGGTTAGCCACTTAGGCTACACCCATTGGTTATGAATCCTACACTAAATAAAAAGATTTTGTCCGACTATGTGTCTATTAAGAATTTTTCGTTAGAGATGAAGTATCAATTTCAATCCCATAATTTTTAAGTATTATTTTGATCCATTGACGATTGAATAAGAGAAGTAAGAAGATTCAAAGTTTGTATTACCAAGCAAATGAGCTGTCGTGATTCATGAGTTTGTTGGTGAGATTAGTCTAAAATGATCAGATTATGTTCATACTACATGGTCAACTAACAAGAAATTTCGATTGTTTGGTGGCTACACAACAGCCGTTTTCCCACCTGCTAACGTTCTAAGCAGATGTGGCAATGAGATGCTAGGTGGACTCAAGATTTTGAATAACAATCAAAAGATGCAATGATTTTGGTAATATAAATCATGGATTAATTACCTAAAAGTCCTATTTACATATTTGGTGGTAGCTTAGGTCCCGTCAAAAAGTTTTTGAACCAATAAGTCCCATTTACAGGTAAAAAGATGTTTTGCCTTTTAATACCAAAACTGAGAATGCTCTCAATTTATAATTATCAAAACTAAGAAATTTCTGAATTTTTTTTCTGGTATGAACTAAGAATATTATCAAAACTAAGAAATTGATAATTATCAATTTTGAAAAATTTCTCAATTTTTTTCATGATTAAAATTGAGAATATATTTAACTGAAAAGGTTCTCAATTTCAAAAAAACTCTAGATCTCTCTCTAATGGCAGTGGCATTTGTGAACTCAGTGAAAATCGTGACCTCACAATCAATGAACTCATCACCTTCCGAATGAGTCTTCGACGCCAGCTCTGAGTCCTCATCTTTCGGTGGACTCTCATAAGCAA